TCACGTAAAGGACGGAGATCACATGACTACAGATGGTGGGGAGGTTGGCAACCTGTCGGGCTCTCGCTCTCCTAGTACTACAGGCCCCAGCATGCTCTGTCGTCTTAATCTAGAAGTGGGTTGCCTTTTCCAACGTATTTTTATTTCTGCATCTCCATGATTTTTTTTTTTTAACACGGGAGGGGTCGGGGGTTCCAAAGAGGGGGAAAAAATAGTCCGAGTTCTACTTTAATGTGTATTTGTATAATTTTGACATTTTTGTGTGTTTTTTATTGATGCCCCCCCCTCCCCTTACAATGTATAGGCGCTCAGCACAGATGGCTGACTGCAGGCTGACCTACATTCCCCTCATTAATTCTCTCTTCTCTGCTTCCTCCAAGAGTCCGTGGTTCCGAGCAGTGGTACGTTTCACGTCAAGCTGCCAAAGAAGAGAGGAGTGGAGCTGGGCATCACAATCAGCTGTGAGTAAGGGTTCAGCGGGTCTCAAGCTAAATGCACGCTCGCAATTCATTTACGAAAAAAATGTCTTTCATGCCGAAAGATGTGTAACTCTGCTCGGCCAGTCTTCTGATGCAAACATGCCTGCCACACGAGAGGCCTAACTAGAAACCTCGGGGCCCCGGTGCAAGTAACCATGAAGAGTTTTATGGTGATGGATCATCAAGTCCAGTTGAACTTGTAGTTTAAATCCGCTAAATACATTCCAGGGGCATCAAAGCAAAAAGTGTGCAAAGTCTTCCTGTCGGTTTTCTTTAGGAAGCAGCCTGAGTAGAATAGCCTGCCAGCATGAAGCAGAGGATGACCCTTACTCTATGTAGGGAAGCAGTGGTCTCTCATGAGAGGGCACTCCCCCTGTTTGAACAGAGCTAGAGCTCTGCAGTAAAAAATGATGCTCGCTGCTAATTGGAGAATAGATGTCGGACCTCTGCGGAGAGAGCGCTGCTTCCAAACAGAAGGCAAGGGTCCTTCTCTGCGGCATGCTGGCAGTGGACTGGCTTTTCTACTCAGGCTGTGGCCTGTAAGAGTTAGCACACCTGTTGTTGGAATATGTCTAGGGGGATGGGCTCAAGTGGTACTGGTAGTGTAAATCATTCACAAAGCAGGGACATCCAGGGACGGTCCAAGAAGGTTTGCACATTTTTACTCGGCAAAGAAATAAACGGTCCTGTCTTTTACGGAGAACTATGGGGTTAAGGTTTCCCCCCATAGTTCTCCTTAGGGTAACGGGAGGACACAAACTAGCGTCCTCCCATCACACTAGGCTCAGTATATACTGAGACACCGCAGCTGAAGCGGATCCCGACAATTGTGCCGGGATCCGCCCAGCTGCGTGACTGACAGCTGGCTCTGCCTATCTAGAGCTGTACCCTCCCCCTCCCCCGTCCGTTCCGCCAGTCAGCGCTGGAGGATCAGAGCGGGGAGGGGGGAATCCAGCCGAGATGTGTTCGCTCACCTTCCGATCTACTGAGCCGACCTGTGACAGTCTCATTGTCACAGGTCGGCTAGAACTATGAGGTGAGTGAAAAGCACTCACCTCATAGTTCTCCTTTAAGGCAAGAGAGCATTTGTACAGCAAGTCCATGTCATGAAAGAAAACATCTGTTGGTCCAAGCCGCACATCAAACTCAAGTCCGGTCCTGATTTGGGGAACCCATTAGGGAGAGCTCTACTTGGCCTTTGGACTCCAGGACTCAGGCCAGAATGAAGGCTTAATCCCACCCAAAGCTCTACAAAGCCTCTGGGCAGCAGGACCCAGAACAGAATTGAGGCTTGATTCCATCCAAAGCTCTATAAAACATTCAAGATCAGAATGGAGACTGTATTTCACCCAAAACTCTACTAGGCCTCTGGGCTCCAGGACCCAGACCAGAATAGAGGCTTTATCCCACATAAAGCTCTACCAAGGCTCTGGGCTCCAGAACCCAGACAAGAATGGGAGGCTTTATCTAATACAATGCTCTACACAATCTCTGGGCTCCTTGACCCAGGCACGAATGGGAGGCTTTGCCCCATCCAAAGCTCTACTAAGCCTTCGGGGTTTGTGACCTAGACCAGAATGGATTAAAAAATCAGAAAATCTTGCTGCACTCCTTACCGGAGTCAAAGAGAACCCGTATAGACGGGTGGGTGCTTGTAGTGGCCACGGGTGGCACCGTGCAAAGATGAGATAGAAAAATAACGTCACCAGCACTCCAAGGGATAATAAAGCAATTAAAATTTTGAATGGCAATGTGCCAATAAATGGACTATTGCTTTATTATCCCTTGGAGTGCTGGTGACGTTATTTTTCTAGACCAGAATGGAGGCTCTACTAAACCACTGGGCTCCAGGACCCAGACAAGAATGGAGGCTTTATTCAGCCCTAAGCTTTACAAAGCCTCTGGGCTCCAGGACCAAGACAGAAGGGAGGCAAACATCCACCCAACACCCAAACATCTACAAAACCTACGGGCTTTAGGACCCAGACCCGAATGGAGGCCTTATTTCACCAAAAGCTCTAATAAGTCTCTGGGCTTCAGGACCCGGACCAGAGTGGAGGTCTTATCCAATTCAAAGCTGTACAAAACCCTCGGGCTCCAGAACCCAGACCAGAATGGAGGCTTTATCCAATTTTAAGCTCTCCTAAGCCACCTAACTCCAGGACTCAGAACAGATCTGATTTTAAAAAAAACAAGTTTGTTTCCTCCGTAACAGAAGCAGACCCTGGAGCCCCTCACCATGTGCAGGTGGGAAGTCTAGGTGACCCCTATGCATCATCCGCAATCCTACCACCCAGCGCCGCACACTAGCTAGCCGAAAGTTCGGTTTGGCTTTAACATCTATTTATCCTGATCTAGCGCGTGAACACTCGCACGCGTACCGTTCATTTTTTTTTTTTCTCTCCGCTGTCGTGTTACTTTGAAAAGGAATGATTGTAATTCCCTTTCCTCGTACGTATTTATTAACAGCCATATAAACATCCGGGACGGCTCCAATCCTCATGATTAATGGACTCTGAAGATGTGTGTAGTTAAACTAATGCGCAGATAAAGGAACGTAACTGAGCTACAATGTTTCACCGTTCGGCGAATGAGCGCCCTTTCTCCGAGTCGGTAAGAGTTATTCTCTGCGAGCGGCGACGCTTAGTAATTAGCTGTTTTTTGGTGAAACGTCCCTTAATCAGTTTTATTAAGTTTATGGTACGCAGATTGAACACGAGATTTAATGTCTGCGGAGTCTTTTTTTTGGCTTGTCTAACGGGCAACGCAAAAAAACACAAAGTAACCCGTAAACATCAAGCTTGTTATTTACATTAGGAGCGCTAACATATTGCTGCGGAGGATGTTGAGACGTATGCTTCCATGGGGCCGGGCCGAGGGGTAGGCAGAAGGGGCGGTCACCTTGGGTGCTTACTCCGTGCCTGTGATTGGTGCTTTCAGCTTCCTGGCGGGCTCGGCACGTGGAGCTGCGAACACTCCCGAGCCCATCACTAGTAGGGACCAGAGCGGTAACTAGAAACTTCAGGGCCCCGGTGCAAGAAGCCACGAAGGGCCCCCCATCGCCATGGGAAGGAGCTGCGGAGAGTTGGCCTGCTGCATGCTGGGAGCTGAGTCAATCAACAGAGCCCTCTTCCTCCTGTCCATGCACCCACAAGTGGTGGAACTACCAGAGTCACAGCTGCGACTGGGCCCTGGCGTTCCACCACTTGGGGAGGCCCGTTAACCACCAAGGTGCCAACATTGCCTCCTGGGACTACAGCTCCCAGCAGGCAGACACTCCGCAGCTCTTTTCCATGGTGGTTAATATGGTGCTGCGGGCGGTCTCAGCAAGGCTCTGCAAGGTCTCAGGTGATGGAGTGCAGGGTTAGGGCTGCTGGCAGCTCACCCACCTTCTGTATCCGGGTCGGTCCTCTCACCCTGTCTGCTCTCTATTGGGAGAGCATGCAACAGGGTGACAACACAGGAACACAATTCGGAGGCAGTTACAGAGCGTTGTCACCCTATAACAAGGACTTTCATGGCAGGATCACCGGCAATAATTTTTTGATTAGCTGCAGACTTAAGAAATTTTGAAAGGAGATGACCAGGCGAAAAAGATACAAGCGTTTAGTGATTGGGTTTACATATAAAATCCCTGCATGGCTTCAGATTGTGGAAGGAAACCCACACAAGCGCAGGAAGGACATACAAACTCCATGCAGAGTGGGAACTGAACCCAGTGACACAGCACTGCCAGAAAAAAAAGCGATACGTGCTTAACGACCGTCCTGCGCCTTTCATTGCGTTAAGGCAAGTCAGAAGGATGAAAAATGGCTGCTGTGGATATCCGCACTCCGCACATTTCTCTCCGCCTTATTAAGCAAAGTGCAGCAGCTCATATCATGCCATCAGTATTAATTTTTCATGGGCCTGGCTGCACTAAAGTGCTGAAAGGTACGGCACGCTGCATATCATTACTCAGCTTAAAATCAAGTGGAAGTGCACGTCGGAGATGGCCGTTTATTACAACTGCGAACACAAAAATTTACGTCCAGTGCCACAATGCTCCCTCTGCTGGCCACACATGCACATTACAGCCCCATAGACTTCTATGGAACCATCTCCATGCCATTACATAGTTACATAGTATCTGAGGTTGAACAAAGACATATGTCCATCAAGTCCAACCCATTGTGTGTGTGTGTGTGGGTGTAAAGAATCTGCTTGCCCAAAGAAAAAGAAAAAACTACCCACCCGGGCGTCGGGAGATAGGGATTCCACACCCCTGCTGCCCCAAGGCCGGGCCTCGGTTGGCCTTGTGGGAAATCCGGCCCTGCTCACGCCATTTCTGCTCCGCGACCAGGGGTTACTGCGCCACTGCGCCTTTTATAAATCTTTGATGCTCTTCGCTCCTCTTGCCTGTGTTTTACCCCTGGCAAGGGGTAAATGTAGAGCCTGGCGCTCGTTTAGTACAAGTGATTCCAACGTTGCCGCTGAGTCACTTGACTCCTTTCCTACCTGAACAATGCCTGCATCCAGTCAGGTTGTTCAGGTATTGTGCGGGGCTCTCTGACTTGCTGCAGCTTCTAATGCACATAGTGAGGAGCTCCCAGTGTGCAGTGATATCAGAGGAAGCCATTCCAGTCGAAGAGAGGAGCCGGTATAGCTGTGCTAGGCTGAAGTTCACCTTTAAGGAACTACAAGTCCCAGCCACTGCTGTGAATTTCAGTTCCTCGCAAGCTTTGCCATTTGCTCAGATAACCGGCTGTCCTGCCGAGGATAGGAAGGAATGATCCCATTTATATGCACAGCGTTCATTAATGATCCGGTATAGGAAAGATTAATAAGCTCCGGTGCCGAGTATTGGAAATCGTTATCTATCATCCGAGGAG